ACTCTTCTCAGCAAACTCTTTAGTTGCCCTGACCCTTTTAAATTCTGCCCAGACTGCCTTTGTAATTTGGGGGTATGCGGGGATTGCGTCCTTGCCTTCACTCAAGTACTTCTTGTACAACACGTGCTTCCAGTTTCTCCAAGCATTCCTAGCCTTCTTCAGTGTAGCGTGTTCCACCTGCATTATTCACTACTCTGGAACGTTGAAGTGATCCATGATCTCCCGGACTATCCTTCGCCGTGTTTCTGTGTCAACCTTCCGAAACCCCGGCAGGTTTATGTTGAGCCTTGCCCTGCCAACAAATGCACACACACTCCTGAACCTCGTACGTGCTTTATCTGGTTTAATTGGAGCCCAAGCCTTTAAATCGATCTCAATTACTTCATATACACCTTTAGGCTGGTGTGTGGGCTTCCTTGGAGCGTTCCTTTGTGTCCTGACCGAAAGGGTAATTGCTGCAGCTCTATCCTGTTCAAGATTACTTGATCCCTCACCATCTTCTAAAGACCTAGGGTTGTCGAAATCAGATGAAGATACATCACCTGAAGCATGAGTGATGCCGCTGCTATTCGGCATCTACAGAGAACATATGCGAAACTCAGGAAAGGAGGATAAGCATAAAACTAACAACTTGGTATCAAACTTTCTAAACATGTCATGCAATAATTTAGAAAATGTACGGCTAATTTGTTAAGTTTGTGTGACTCGGGCGCCCGTGATCTGTAAATCGGCAGTAACTTATTGGAACAAATACAACTTATATGTACTAGTTAGGAAGGTAGATGATTAACATATATATGCTCTCCGTTATTTTATAGCCAATTTCCAATTTGGGAACATACGGAACGAAATAGGAAGAGAGATTACGAGGAAATATGCCTCACTGCGATGGAGAGCAGTAACTAACAAGCTTCTTAATGCAAACCCGGACGGACCAGAGGAGAGGCGAGGGTTACATCATCGATATGCTCGAGGGTGGCTGGCGAGCAAACGAAGACGGGGAGGCGCGGGCAGCTGCGTGTTAGGAACGACAGTGGAGCTAGGGTTGACGTGAAGAACGGGCACACGGTCGGGGTGAGCACGCTGGCGCCGGAGAGGGTTCTGTGGTGGATCTGGGGGAGAGGGGAGCTGGCGATAGATATTGGATGGACTAGTTGAGTGAAACGCGGGCGGGCCATGGGGGGTGTTGGCGGCCTAGGTGAAAAGGGTGGAAAATATCCCCGGTCGCCCGTGGAAAGGCCTATGCAAACGCTTGCCTCTAATCGCTCGTGTGCACAAAGAGAATTTTTTTTTTTGAAATGAAGATGTGAGTTCATCGTTTCGCTTCTAAATTTTTCCCACGTTAAGCAATCACCATAATACCATGGGTTTGATTTGCTGGCGCATTTCAGGTCTCGTGTGCTACATGTAAGACATTTTTTGGCATTTATCGTGCATTTTGGCATATAAATCAATTCCTAGGCGGACTGCATTTCCTGTCAAAAGGGATAAGGATTGTCGTTCGATCTGGGAGCATCCAACGGTTCAGATGTACGATCCATGGGGTTTGGGTTCTAGCCAATCAGAACGCATGACTCAGATCGCGCGCGCAGCAAAGGAGGGCATCAGCCATGGTTTGGTAGGCACACGGCTTTTGTGAGTGAACCGTGTGCTATTTGAA